GTGAAGTCGAAAAAACGATTATGTCGTCTAGGTACACTAGACATTTTTCGTTTTGTATGCCTCTCAAGATTCCCTGATTCTTTGGAATATGGCGGGGGCGTTCTTGAGCCTGACCGGCATTCTCAAGAATTCATAGTGTCCATGCTCTGTATTGTGAATGCTGTTTTGAGGATTTCCTCCTCGTTCATCCCGATTTGGTGGAAGCCGGATGCAAAATCTAAGATAGTAAAAAATTGTACACAGTTCGTTAGTGATATCGTGAGACAACCACCTATATTTGCTTCGCTGGAGCCATGTGTTTAATTCGGGAATTTCCTCTGATCGCAGCTTCAATAACCCATTGTAATTTGAATTTTCATCTTCGTGGCTTCTTATTGCTAGGCCTCCGGTCATTAAATAACGGAGAGTTGAAATCATTTTCAACAGGGCAGTTCTAGCTGTTTTCATATCTTCAATTTTACTATCTGATAGCATGGATAATACATCAACGCCACGTTCTAAATTAGCTTTATGCGATGCACAAGAACGGCGAACGTCAGACATTTCGTGCTCATTCCAAAGCTTTATTCCATGATGAAAAGCCACTTTCAGTGAATGCCTTAATGGAATGTCTTGATAATTTTTTCGGCGTAGTAACGCCACTTTATCAATATCTCCATCGTACAACAGCTATGGGAAACTTATCTGCCACTTACTTTGGAAATTGCGTTTCTTCTTGTTCTCTTCAATTGAATTTGCAGAAATAATATTATTTTCTGGTTGAATTTGTTGACTTGTACTACGCTGAGAAGAGATACTAGTGGAGGGTTCTTCAGGTTTGGATACCTTACGATTTCAAATTACGAATTTTAGCCATCGAAGCTTATAACCCTCCAAAATAAATAGGGTAGAAAAGAAACTTGAAACACGCACAACGAGGACGTGCTCTCAGATTTGAAAGTCCGCGCCTTTTTTTTCGCCAGCTAAGACAGCGAATTCTATTGGTAGAACTAGTGCAGATAAACTGTGTTTTTATTTCTTTTTTATACAAGCATGCAAGAAAAGACACGAATACAATCAGTGCGCACTAACGCTTCCAATAGAATTCGCTATGGAGACAAACCAAATAGCGCGGACGTGGTGTTTTCTATTTGTCGTTTCAGTGCAGCACTCAGTGCAGCACTCAGTGCGCACTAAGCGCACCTCCGTGCTGCAATAAATGGAAAACGCCATTTTAATTAGTAAAGTCGAAGATTATTCGTTGATGAAGGATGGAGCAGAAGTGACTTTTGATTGGATAAAATTATGTTCAACATTCTGTGTACCGGACAATCGACTGACCACGGTAGATCTATTCGAGTGATTAGTAATTTTTTTTTGTGGTATTCAAGCCAATCGCTTCGGCAGATGTTTTTGTCCAATTTTGAATCATATTTCTTCCAACAGGCACATTATCATACCAGTGAACATTTTTGGCTTTCCAGTGACGATTTGTTTTTAGGAATGATCGGTTGGTTTTAGATATTTTGGCCTCTTTTTGACATCAATTTCTTATAATCTGAGAGAACAACGTTGCTGTCTTTGTTTTCTACTAAAAATTTACTAGCTGTACACATTCTTGCACCACCTTGGCAAGTTTTGCTGAATACAGGGTTATATTCAACTCGATTTGTTGGAGAATCATCGTTGCTTGTTTCGATGAAAAAAGTCAGTTATGCAAGCAGCAGCTTTCCCAGCTCGCCAAACTGATTCTACCGCGCGATGTTTTCATTCCATGAATCTGTCACTTTGTTTATTTCCAATAAACTCAATGCTGCTGAACTATCTTTTCTTTTAGAGGGATCCGATTGAAGTTTTCGTCGAATAAAATCGCGGGCAGCTCGCGCTTGTTGAAATACAACACTTTTGAATGGGTCAATAACAACTTTGATTTCTTTATAATAATTTTCTTGTAAAAGCTTACTTGTTAGTTGGTTTTCACCGTAGTTTCTTTAAACTCTATACCATGTTTCCTTCTCATGTTCACAGTCCAATCCTTTAAAATCTACACCAATTCTTCCATCGTCCGATTTTCATCCAATTGATACTTTCTAACATTGCAAAAGTCCATAAATGTTTTCCATACAAATTTTTTACTGGAGCAGTATTTTTTGGTATATTTCATTTGATAATTTCATCAATATTCTCGTCAGTATTACAACCAAATCGTGACATTTTGAAAAATTGAATATTTGAAACGTCAAAATCGAAATGTATCCATAGCAACGTGAGAAATAAGGTGAAAACAAACCTAGTGCTGTTTTCAGTGTAATGTTGAAATTATTGGGTAATTTGTTTCACATGGCAAAACATAATAAAATTTGATTGGCTATCAAAACAGTCAAACAATTTTCGTGCTAATTAACTGTGCTCCCAGTATTCTTTACTGCTCTGACAATATTAGAAACTGTGCTGAGTTGCACTCAATGCTATTACCGAAAATTTGATGTGAGGCAACTTGACGCTCAGCCTCTCCGTTTTCTCGATTATTTTATCAAACAAAAGCAAAAATCAGTGAAACTTTCAGTTTGCTGAACTGTGCTGTTAAAATTTTCAGCTTAGTTGATAAAGTCACCCACGCTCTTGCTACCTGTATTCAAATACCAATTTCAATCTGGAAGTTGGCTTACTATTGTAAAAATTTTACTACCCAAAAGAGTACCATCTTCATCAGTATCAAAAATAATTTGGGGTACTTGTCAGCCATCTTTCTTGCTACAATATCCAAACGCTTTATTAGGCATTTCTGGTTTGATATTACGCAGATCGTTTACTATTGTATGAATAATTTCTTTTCTTAAGGTTTTTCCTCCTATTCCATTTTCGCATTGCTTTAACATAAATTGTAGTATTTTTGAACAAAGGATATCGAATAGTTGCCAAGTGTACTCAAATATACGATTTGCCACATCAGTCGCATTACTTATCGGGATGATTTTAGGAACATGCAGAAATATGTTATTGGATTCTGTGGGAGCTTGAGTAGTTTCACAAATTAAATTAGAAGTAGAGACTAGTAGATGTAGTATCATCAACAAATTCTATTAGACATTCCTGTAAGTCCAAATTCATGTCGCTTGTCATTGTAATGGTTGAGCAATCAATAGTAATAGTCGTATTACTAACCGATCACGACTCTTCCCTTAATAGCAACCATTGTTCACCTGGCTGAAGTAAAACAAGTGTTGAGTTCTTTTTTTAATTCTAACAGAAACTCATTGCCACTTATTTTCGTTCCGTCGCTCTCTAGCGCAATAGTGCTACCATTGAGTTTTAATTTGTCAGATGCTGAAGAAGGTACTTGAAAAATCAGTTTATTCTTAATTTTCAGTAAAACATACCTGGTAAAATAAGATCATCTATCAAATTTTTCTTTTCTGAGGTTATCGGCTTGAGCGAAGCGAGTGCAGATATTATACGAGTCGAAATCGTCTTTCGTCCGTGGTGGACACAGTAATTTTTGCGCAACACCCTTGGAAACATTGAAAAAAAAAGCCCAGTGGTTTAATTTAAAAAAAGACCTTGATGGGGGGATCGAATCCGCGCTCCCTTCAAGAACTAATCTGAAATCTCAACTCAACTCAAAACTCTTTATTTAAATACACAGGCAGGAGAGTTAGGCCCCCCTCAAACTACAAACATTAACAACAATACTTAGAAACTAGGACATAGACCTAATTGCTAAAAACTCCGGCGTAACGCAGCACACCGTACCCCAAGGCACGACTAGCGCGCTGTTTGGGCATTTTTCAGCACGGTCGATGTTCTGACCAGAAAAAACCCCTGTTTTATCCTTGCTTTTGAGACTTATTCACAACGTTTCCTGGTTGGCCTTATATGTTGCTTATATGACCCTGGGGTACGCAAATACCATGGATGGCAAGCATTGGGCCGTTATACCGGTCTACCAGAAGATATGGACGGATACTACTGGGGTTGCAGAGCGCGCAGCGACTGTTTCGTGGGGAAAAGTTAATTAAAAACCCCACTTTTTATTGATTTAGATATAAAAAACAAAAAATGTGTGCCCCCATTGAGCGGTTGGTCCTGACGACGCGGTCAGCTACAACCAATCATACATGGGCTGTAGTCCACCAATCAATTGAAATCAGGGTATTACAGAAGTTTATCCCTACGATAACCTCAACCTGGACTTTGACTCCAATCATGTTGCAAATTTAAATATGAATTGTATGCAATTCTAAAAATCCTACTATTATCGTGAGCAAATTGAACCATGCTTCTATCCTATACTTCAAACAAGATGCTCCTCTGGTATTCATTGATTGCTGTTGGCAAGGTAAAGACATACTGAAATGTGGTGGTGTTGATAGTCGTGTAGAATTTTAAACAAAAAAAGCGATTCAAGCAAACACTATAGTTTACTGTTTGATCCTCCACGATCGACTTGTGAAATACAATCCATTGACCGACGTGTAATTTGAAAATCTTCAACTTGGATGTTCAATACAAAAATAGCTATTTTATTTGTAAGGAAATTGCTATTTTCAATCAGACGACCTGACAAATTTTTCATCAACTTATCAATTTACCTACAAATTCCGATTGGTTAGGAGAAGATCTTAGACGACAAGTACATTTGAACACACATAACTTACATGGTTTGGAACGGAATAGGTTTGACTAGTTTTTTAACATTTCAAAATATAACAAGTTTTATAATGGAAATTGTTGAAAATTAAACTGTCTTTGTATAGGGTGATAATAAAAAAGTATGGTTAAGTAATTTAATAAATAAAAATATTGTCGATATTGATAGCCTGGGATGTCCAAGTTTTAAAAAGTTAAGAACTGTATCAAATAATTTCCATTATAAAACTCACTTGTTCAATAACTTATTTGCGCCAAAGAGAGTGTATTTCTATTAAAGAATTGGTTTTTGGATAAAAAAAATTGAAATTTTTATTTAAATGTTTTTATTATATCTACATAACTAACATAGTTATTCTTATTCACTAGTACTAGCTGAGGTTTGCTGCTGCTGCTGTGCCTCTTCCACATCATCATCATTATCATCTTTATCGGTAGGATATATTTCATCACTCATTAATTATCTCCAGGGAGTATCCGCAAACGCTTGGGTTACTGCTGTAGTTGGGAGGAGGACCCCTCCTTTAGGTTTTCGACAAGCAGGTTTGTAGAGAACTCACATTGCTTCAGTTAACTAATCACTGGCTGCTAGCAAGTAATAAAACATGCAATCTGTTACTGCTGTGTTAAATTCCATTTTTAATAATAGTCTTCGTCATTTCAATAATAATCAAATGTTAAAATGAATTGGGATGCCGTCGAGGGCAGAGCACCATAAAAGTTATACAATTGCATATAATATGCATATAATAATAAAAAATTGAACACAATAATAATTCATATTTCCATAGAGAACAACAAAATGCACAGTTGACAACCAGAACCTATTTGATAATAATAATTATAACTAATACAAAGTTCACAAGCAGCGCAGGAAAGTTGCGTTGGGAAAGCTCCCAACACAGGTTGAATTTGAATTTCTTCATCACCTGTTCCAGGAGCTTGAATTCCTCCTCGCTGTCGATTTTGGTTCGCATATATCGCACTGGCAAAATTCCGATTTTTTTTTTCCAGAGTGGCCGCTCTCGGTGAATAGGTAAGGTTGACAATTACTTTTACAACCTTCTGAGAGATATCCTTCACACCATATCTAAAAAAATGAAAAAAAAAAAAAAAAATTGATTTTAAAAAAATTTACTTTGGCGTTATGGTAACGGTGAAACATAAAATTAAAAATTAAATAAAACAGAAAAATAAAATAATGCAGATTTCTAATTTTGACAAATTCACAGTAAACTCGAAAACTTAAATTAATTTTTTTTAATAGGAAAAGAATAAACAAGTACTTACTGGAAGGGATGCTTAGCCACAGCATAGAGACTTTTTATTGGTAGAATTATTCTATCCTCTGAGAAAAGGACTAAAGTGGTTGGAGTTGCTGCCATGTTTCGTCTTGTGCTTGTTGACTACGAATTATTTAAATTTCTCATCCGATTAAATACTAATAGTAATCAAACCAACAACAAAAAAAATGTATTGATAATAATATAATTATTTACCATAATTTTGCTATTAGAATATACATTAGAGACATTTTAATGAATGATACAAGTTGTTTTCAACGAAAGCTTTTTAGTTGCATCAGTATTCTGTTATTGATTGTAGATAATTTTTTTTTTTTTCAATATCACTTTACAGAAATTTTCGGTAAGATAATAAGGTCAATAAGTTGAATTTGCAATCTTGTTGTTCCCAATTAAAGCTTATTAAAAATTGTCGCTAACATATCAAGGTCATTAACTTCAATTTGTAATCTTGTTGTTCCTAATTTTCTCAAAAATTTTCGCCAATATAACAAGGTCACTAAGTTCAATTTGTATTCTCGTTTATCCTAATTAAATCTTCTTAAAAATATTCGATAACATAACGTCAATAAGTTCGATAACGATTAATAAGAGTTGTATAAATTAGACACAAAGCATCTAGTTTAATTGAGTGAAAAACGTCAACTAAATAACATAGTGTGTGATTTTATTCAAGACGGGGGATTCAGCTCTTTTCTTCTCGGTTACACCAATACATTTGGCGATATTTACGTATTGATTATAAAGGACCCACATAATTAAAGGGGACCCCAGGCCGCTATAAAAAAGCATCTAACCTGGATACACACAGCCAAAAAAAAAAAGTTTGTATCCACAATTGATACATGTGACCCTTGAAATATGGTGTTGTATGTATCCATGTTGGATACACGCGGCACTCAACTTGCTAACGAGTAGAACTTCTCACTTTTTGTTTTTTTTATCTTCTACTGTTCCATCTTCTACGTTATCTAGGAGTATTTGGTTCTCAGCTGAAAAAACAATAATTCACCATATTACTACTACAGAATGGCTTATCACATTACTACTATAGAATGGCTTATCTTCATAAGGCCCTTGTGTAACAAATCCCCCCCTACCCAAAGCTACAAGCAAAACTTGAAGCAAAATAATTAAAATATGCATGAGAACACATATTCAAAACTAACTTACTGGCCGCTACGCCATATTGAACATAGTTGTCATTCATACCTTTCGTTGATAGAATCTTTGTAAAGGACCCCGCACACATCTTATGGGTTTTTGGCTCGCGGTCAAATTTGATAAAATTTTAGTATGTTGTAGATTTCAACCTCCTGATGGAAAGTTATCATTGGCCCAACTTGATCCTATGACTAGTTTCAGAGATACAGGGTCGTAAAAAAATTCTCATGTTAACTAGTAATATTCCATTTACCCCCAAAATATGCATTTCTAATTATTAATAATATCCTATTTGGGCACAATAAATGAAAAACGGAACCCTCTTTCCATATTTTCAAGCAACTGTCTTTATACAGGGTGGTAAAATAATTATGCGATATACAAATATGTTAGTTAAAAGGTTATATTAGGATTTTATTTTGTATTTTATATTTTCCCCTTATGTGCACAACCTGGGCCCGAAGGTCGGAAAACAGGAGAAACTCAGCTCTTGACCAATCAAAACTGCTCTATCATGTGTATGCCACTTGTTGGAACAAAGCCGCTGAGTAGAGTCCGCGTCAGCAGTAAAGAGTACGGTGACGACATGGAAAGCTGTGCGAAGCGGCTCGCATCTCTCTCCCTTGTCTATTTCTCGCTGTCTGCCGTGACCTCAGTCGTGAGCTAAAACCAGCAGCGGGGTATCTTTTTAGACAAAACTTGAATGGAAAATAAACTAAATAAATATGCCTGCTGGCCGTACGACAATGAACCACGTGCTTGGCGTTCGGCAGCAGCACCCATCAATACGATAGTTCGGTTAGTCTTCAAAATTGGGTTTGTGCGCATATCGTCGCCTTAGTAAGAAAAACGCGTAAGTTCATTTTGGTAAATTTTACAGCAGACGATAAAAATTGGTTTTTAACTTTCATATTAGTGATAAAATATTTTAATTTTGCATTAGGTATATGTCGATACATAAGATTTATTGTATAAGGTTAAAATTTTAACATAATTTAGTATGTTACGCTTTTTTCCCATAAAAAAATAACAAAAAAGTTGGAGCTACGCGTTTTTCGGAAATAAAAATGTAGAGGGTAAAGCGGGCAAAACTTATTTTATTTCAAACAAAACTCAAGATTTAATTTAGTAAACGAAATCAATAATGCTAAAGAAAAGGTAAGTAATTTTAAAAAACACAGATTTTTTTATTCAAATGGCAGTTCATCGTAGAATTTCTGGTAATCCTCTAATAGACCTAATTTCAAAATTTGTAGGTGATCATACTTCTCCTTTTTAATTTTCCTGCGTTCTGTAAACAATGGAAGTAGATCGTCATACTTGCAGGGAGTAATCTTTTTATTTAATCGTTGGTTTAAGGCAGCCCATGGATCAGTATGTCTCATTTTAAATTGAATTTCGCAATTCGGGAATTATCTCAGGGCCTTTATGTCAGTGACAACAGGGTCGCCCGCGGCCCTACCTGGTCGTATTGAATTATAGAATTTTAGATTGTCAAATTTTTTAAAAAAGCTGTGAGAAATATACTTGACAGTGCATGGAGATGGATTTGATCTTGCCTTTTAGCAATGATATCCATAGTCAGCTGGAAGGTTTATTTTGCGATCCCTGATCTGTCTTTCAATAGTGTGACCCTTGAATAAATACTTCTGAGTGAGAATTATATTGTGCTGAGCAGCTAAATTTACAAACGCATTAGCCAATCTTGAGTTACGATTTTGGCCCGTACAACCATCACTGAAAAATATCATTTCACTTAAAGAACCGTCACACTTTTCTATTTCTTGTTCAATAAAAAAGCTAATTATGCTGGAAAATTCATTGGCAGTCAAGCCCCCTTCGTTTTCGTTCCAAAGGAAACAAAAGCCTTCTTTGTTTTTTAGATTGTAAATAGTAAAGTTATGTACCTACTATAAGTTTGGTCTTATAGTACATTGCAGAAACTGTTCATTTGGGACTCAACAACACGCTCTGTAAATCCATTGCATAAACGTTAACTGTTATGTCATTACTAGATTTGTCCCTTTCCTTTTCTTGGCGCGCCTCTTGTTTCAAAGTTTGATGCATGTTATACTTTTCCTCAGATAAGTTTTTCGTATTATATGCTTCAGACACATCACATAGGTCTTTTTTTGGAGCGTATAGTGACAACTTCAGCTCTTTAAATATCTTCATAAACGTATGTATGGATGATGTCTGCAATTGGTGTTCAACGCAAAATCTTTTTATGAAACACTTATACAGTTCGGCATGTGAACGCCAAAGTGGTTCAAGGTACATTTTTTCCGAGAAAGCCCTGCAATAATTGTTCTCCATTTTTGGTAGCGATTGAAAAAACTGGTAAACAGCTGCATTTTTTTCTGCAAATTTTGCCCTTCTTGTTTCGCTTTTCTTGCTGATATCGAAGTCTGATCTAGCTCGATATTATTTTCCTTATCAGCATTTGGAAATTCTTTTATCCAACTCAATATCATTGTTTCTTTTAACCCCAGAGTACCTCCAAACATACACTTGCAAACTCGAATTCTTTCCAAGACCACTTTTAAAAAATATTTCATGGAATATTTCCTCCTTGATACAGCTTCTTCCCCGCCTCTTCTTCTTTTAACATTTTCACACTGAACCAAAGCCTGTATCTGTATTTTCCTTTCATTCGACGTCATTTTGTTCCAAAATGTTTGGAAAATATTTAGGCGTTTTTCTTCTGTCATTTTTTGACACTGAATTGCGGAGCTTTTTTTACTGCAATTGCACGGATTTGACAGAAATTTAAAGAGAAAATAACATTTAATATAAATTGTTTTCACATTTTGCATGATGTATTAGTTTTAGAATACCTAAACCTAGGTAGGTAGTACCTGGTTTGTTTATGTTGTAGTTCCAATTACTTTCTCCAATTTTCTTTTTACCCTGATACGGTTGGCCTCTTAAACGTTTATATTTATTTGTGATATAGTGCCAATCTTCAGGACGTTTTCTCTTCTTTCGAGTTTTTATATTATTTAAGCCGTCATCGGTTGGTTCATTTCTATCATCGCCGGGTAATGGTTCATTTCTATCTTCAGCGGATAGTGGTTTATAATTTATTTCTTCATTGTTGTCTTCATTGTCTGAACTCATCCCAGACTCGCATTCTTCAGGAACATAGGAATCATCAGATTCGTTGTTTTTAGGTGAAATAGCCGTAATATTATTATCGACGAAATCTGGCTGTTCCGGTTCTAAGAAATAAAGGTTTTCCCCTTCATTATTACTTGTATCAGCGTCATTTATGTTCAAAACTATCGGTAATTCCGAGTGATGGTCAAAACTGGTCGAAATACTGGGATTATTAAACTCTTTGCCTATTTCACAAATGTAGTCCGTGCTTATCAGTAATGGAGAGTAAGGATTTCCATCATTCATACTGCTACACATTCGTGCAGCATTGGAAGACAAAAATCCGTCTTCATCAATTGTGTATTCCACAATCTGCACACGGGCAGTACTTGCTTGTTGCTTAACCATTTCCATTATATGTTTTGTTCGGGATGATATCCTAGAAAGTACTTTTATTATCCTTAAAGTAAAATCAAATATTAGAATATAAAAAAGCTATCTGCAACTTTTCTATCATATTAAAATAAAAAAGCGCATAAGTACGCAATAACAATAGCAACGTGAATTTGGAAAACCGCGTATGTCCGTAGCTTTCCAAAAAGACGAAAAATTGCTAAAATATTTGTTATTGATTGATAAAACTTTCGAAAATACTATACAAACACTCTTACCTTAAGGATTTAGCAGTTATTTGCGCAAAAGTATCTTAATTTCTTTACTCACTGCTTCAATTTCTGCAACCACCTGCACACACCATTGAAACTCATAAATAAACTGGGAGTTACGCGCATTTCTTAGCCTAAATTTGACGAATGGAGATACGCGGTTTGCTTGATAGCATTGTTGGGCGGGAAATAATTTTTTTTGAGTTACGTGCATTTTTAAGTCAGTTACGTCTGATGTTTTGCCATTAGATGGCATTATAAGTCCAATTTGAGCCAAAATTGGAGTTACGCGGTTTTCTTACTAAGCCGACGATATGACGACACCGTACTCTTTACTCTTGACGCGGACTCTAACACTCAACTTATTGAGATCCCCTGAACGTGGCCATCAAGGCATTATTAGATTTAAATGAATATATAAAAAGC